AAAAACACTATGCAAAACCTGTTAACCGGAGTGGTTGCGTTCTACTAGTACACAATCACTCCAGTTAACAGGTTTTACATAAGTGTCTTTAAACTTTTTTTTCCAAATAAAATGAAATGCTCATACATCTATCCAGTCTTTATGATATTTGTTGAACCTTGGAAAACTCCCTTTTCTTGATATCTATCAAATATTTGCTACGTACAGCTTTACTGTTCATTCTTCTTTCAAATCCTCAAAACATGGTGAAGGAGTTATGATAAAAGTTCATGTAAGAACAATATCAGTTCATTGAATAATGGAGTTCTGTAAGAACAACTTTTCTGCAAGATGAAATATTGAAGCCATACTTTTTAGTTATATTAGTAATCATTCTTGTATTTTTTTAATACTCTAACATAAGCTTTTGCCAAGAAAGGTAAATGCTTTTGTAGCATTTAAATTTAATGATTCCAATTCAGTAATTGGTCTTATTAAATTAAAGTTAATAACTGTAAACAATATTGCTCTTCATCTTCAACATCTGACCATTTCTGAACAGTTTAAAAAACAAAAACATTTAATTAAAATACAACATCATGCTCCTCTGCAGTAGAGATTTTAATTTAGGTTTAACAGATATATCCTAATGTAGTGGTTTACCACATACCCATAGATGGGTATGATGAGGTGGTTAATTCCCCTCAGTCTAATCAGCTGTGCTCATATGCAGTATATATAGTGTTACTTCAGTACTTGAACTTAATTCATTCCAGAAGTCTGTTTGAGTACTGAACAAATCTTTCCCAAAAGGAATAATGTAAATTAGATTAATCTGCTCCAGACTCCCAAGAGCATACTTATAAAAGTATTTTAACTAGTATTTAACACAAACTTAACAAGGCGTTTACAAGACTAAGGTGCAAAAATCATAAAAAAAAAAAAACCAAAAATACTCATATGCAATACAGAATAGCCAAAATATGTGCCTATTAATTTTATTGGGTTAAACAAGTTTTTGTGTATTTTTAGCAGCTGTCATTATTTTACTTAGATATGTGATTTACTATAACAGTTGTAAAATTTAACATGTTATTTGCTAATGTGAGGTTGTATTCCTTTTTAGAGTCTCATTTTAAAACTTTTTACATCACATTTTGTTTGTGTAAAATCAAGTTGAATGTCAAGATGCATATCAGGCATTTTGTGCTTTTAGAGTTTTGCAAAAAATATAATGCTACATAAATAGTGAAAAATACTCATAATACGTATGGGGAAGATGCTCCTAAACTTCAAAAATTTCAATTATGGTTTTAAACGTTCCATTTGGGAAATTTTGAACTAAAGGATAAACAATGAAAAGGTGCTAACAAAAGCTGTCAATGAAGAAAAACTACAGGAAGAAATTGTTAAAAATTGATGAATAACAATTCATGAACTTGCAACAAATCTTAATGAGTCCCTGACATATACTGTTGAAACACTTCATCGATTTAGAATAGTTACAAAATATGGTGATTGTGTTTCACATGTATTAAGTGAAAAACGAATTGAATTGAGTATAATTTCATCTGATGAAGTAGTAACTCTAAGGTTTCATTTTATTTTTAAATTCGTTAGTTGTTTTTATCACAGAAAACTTTTTTATGGATGACAAAATTAAAATAAAAATATTTGTTATTAACTGAAAATTTGTTCCAGTAGGTTGTGATTGTTTGGTCAAGTACCAAGCAAATAGTCAAGAATTGAGCTTTTTTTCTTCTGAAAATGTGTTTGAATACTGAATTGTTTGGGTTCATAGTACAGTAGAACCTCACATAATGAATATTTCACACAATGAGTAAAACAAATTGTAAAAAAATGACTTGCTTAACAAGCGACGTTTCACATAACGAGTGATGAGAAGAGGGGAAGTCCCAGATTGTGTGCATGCTCCATCAGTCTGTGTTTAGCACTCATTCTCTGCTAACATCTTAGTGTCACTTGTGATCACACATTTTTCCAAACTTGTGTTCAGACATATTACGTATAAACATTTCATGATCAATTCCAAATTAAATTTTAGAAATGTCTAAATTAAAAATTATTTATAATTATTAAATTTAATACAAGATGGCAGCATAACTGCCTACTTCTAGTCAAATTAATTAATTTATGATATTTAATTATAGCCTTTACATAGCCCAAGAATTTGGCATATTGTTTGGCATGTTTATCAGACATATTATCTCTGATTTTTTTTTGTTTTCTGCAAATCAAATTCACATTCAGGTTGGGTCATTCCACACTAGAAGAAAAGATGAAGATGATTCATGCTCCTTAACAATGTACAGTGGAACCTCGGTATATGACCTTAATCCGTTCCTGGTGTTTGGACTTATACCAAATAGGACGTATATCAAACCAACCTTTTCCATAAGACGTAATGTAAAAATGATTAATCCGTTCTCATGTAAAAAAATGGCTGGCTTTAAACACCTTGCTTTCCTGGCTAGTTCCTACTTAATTTTTCACGAGATCAGCATGTATCTTTTTAACTTTCTCGCAAATAATTTCTTCCAATATGCTGTTCCGATATGCCACACTGTTTTTCAGTTGTCCAAAGCAAAAGCAATTTCTCGACATGATCTAATGTCTTCGATCTCTGTTTAGAAATTGATTTAACCCCTTTCGCAACGTTAGCAAATTTAATAATGTCTTTATTTTTCACGATTGTCGATATCGTCGTTCTCGGAATACGGAATGCAACAGTTAAATCTCGAACACGCGTGCCACCTTCATATTTCTCAACAATCTCTTTTTTCAGTTCCGTTGTGATTCTAGTCATTTTTTTTATTTTTCTGTTGCCCTTTTGCAATTCATGATTAATAAAAATAATAAAATGTTACTTACAAATTAAAATTAGAAGAAATTTAACAAAGTTATAAACCGTAGCACCACGAATGTCTAGTCTAGTGTAGTACACCAATAGTGCTACTTGTTCATAGATGGCGTGTATAATTGAATTAAGTCATATACCGAACAAAAGTCGTATACCGAGCAAAATTTGTTTCGTCCAAACAGGACGTATTCCGAATTGGATGTACTATATTCTAAAGCAGACGTATACCGAGGTTCCACTGTATATTGTATAATTTTCTTTGAATAAACATTATACATAAAATATTTAAGTATTTTTTTGACAGAGAATGCATTATCGTATTTTACATTAATTTATATGGAAAAAATAGTTTTGCTTAACAAGTGTTTCACATTACAAGTAAGATTGTGGAATGAATTATGCTTGTTAAGCAAGGTTCCACTGTAGTTTGAATACTGACAGTGCTACTGCATATATATATATATATATATAAACTTTATTATTTTTAAAATCCATATAAAGTTTTATTCTTTACTACAGGATAAAACTTAATGTAGATTTTTCAGCTTTTTTCTAACAATAGCATCCCCAACTTGATAATATTTTTACAGCATCTCTATTTCTTTATCAATGTAGAGCAGTGATATATCTAGGATTTTGTGAATATGAAAGTTGCTCAAAGCAGATTTGAGAGGAGGGAACCAAAACATGTATTCCATATTTTTTGGAGAATTCCTCAGAATTACTTCAGTTGCTTAATCTTGCATAATAGATGACTTCAATTAGGTGTTGTGATATTTATTTTTATTAAAGTAACTAAACTGATTGCTTTAGTATCAATGGGGTGATGCAGCACCAAAAGCACCCTCCCTAGATATGCCCCTGATATAAAGCTACACATATTACTAAAAGTATGAGTACTATGGTGCTGATTGGCATTATATTTCATGGCACCCTAGTGTGCTATGCATCCCAATTGAAAACCATTGCTTTACTACTTGCTGTCATAGCTTTTTAGATTTAGCACTACAATTTGGTTTCAGTATCAAAACATAAATCTAGGTTAGAGATAAAGCATTTGCATTATTCATATTAATAGTACACCTTCCAATTATCTTGTATGTATGCTTTTCTTTCTCTTGAACTTGTCACCCAAACACAGTTTAATTTCATTTCTGTTCTAGATTAGAAATGAATGAATTGGAGGAAGGTTCATGCATACTTTTCTTCCTGCAATTAAAGTTTTAAGTTGTAACCTAAAAAAAAAAGTATTTTTTATCCTGCATTCAGTCATTCCTACCCTTTTGTCAAATCACTCTTAATTCACAATGCTGGTTTAGCAGCATTCAAGAAAAACTCAGAAATCACATCAGATGCTATTGGTGTTGCTGTAAGTGTAATAGACTAAGAGTGCTAGTTGTCTTCTATCATATTACATAAAAGTATGTTTACAAAGCCTGCCAGAAACTACACAATATTTTTTTCTTAAATACTTAATTATACAATCAAAATATTGATTGGTAATTAAGTTCTTTCCCTATAATCCACTTCTAACTTGGAATTTCATGCTGAAATTTTCTAGTAAAACTAAAAGATATATGCTTTCTTTCTTCAGAGTATCATAACATTAATAATGAATCTGTTTATTCTCTCTACAATGATTAAAAAATTTTACCTCTAATTCTACTAAACAATGTGAGGCTGTAAGGAAAACAATGTTTGTTTCTGCAATAACATCTTTTCTTTTTCATGCATCAAAGACATAATTTTAAAACTGAATCTTGCTACACCTGGACCTGACAATATATCTATATAATTCAGCTAATTTACTCTTTCTAATGTTAAAAATAACTTTAAAATGGCATTATGATGCAGAAGAGTATAAAAGTGGAGCTGTCCAACATTACTTGTTTCATGGAATTTATATTGTTTTATAACTTATTCTTATTAAACAAAATTTAATAAAATCGATTATTTAAAAACTCTCTCTCTATATGTAAAAGAATCTAAAAATTTAGTCATGGTGCATCTCAGAATTGAGGAAATGCAAAAAATTATTTGTGGCAGCCAATATGGTAAAAATAAAATTTCATTATATTTAAATTATTGTTTGAAAATTCATATATTCATATTTTATTTTTGTAATAATATTTTTACAAACCTGAAAAATGGACTCCTATCCCGACAAAGACTAAGGAACTGTTCATCTCGATACATATAACGTAGATCATTTTTACAGCCCACAAGAACAATTGGAGTATTGGGACAAAATCTTCGTATTTCAGGATACCAAACCACCTTACAATTTCGTAACGAAGTAGGATTTGCAATTGAAAAACACAACAGTACCACATCTGATCTGTAAATTATATTTTTTTTAATATTAATATAAAAATTACCTTTTATAATTATTTCATTCATTTTATATAAATTAATATAAAATTAATGAAATAATTATAGTTACTTTATATATCACTGTAAAATAAATTTTTCTTATGAAGTGTGTTTTTTTTAATCATTTACTGTAATATAGCATTTCTCAATCTTTTTAAGTCCAAGGATCGGCAAAATGTCTGAAAAAATTGTATGGACCACTACTTTATATAGGCCAAATGTTTTTTTAAAACCTGTGTGAGTATTACCAACATTTGGAACATACAGTATCATTTATAACATAATAAACCTAAAATCATGTTTTGAATACATAATTTGAACATAATCAAATAAAAGTAAACTATTAAATGTGAATCATCATTAAATAAAATTTTAATCTTTAGTAATTTAAGTCTGCCTGTGGACTACCTGTTCTATCATCACAGACCACAGATTGAGAAATGTTGCTCTAATATGATTATTACTAGTGTTGTAACGAATAGTATATTCAGCCTCAGGCCGAATACCGAATATTCGGCCAGGAGCATGGCCGAATAGCCGAATATTCGGCCAAACTATTCGGCTTGATTAACGCACGTACGAAAATTGGCGCGCAAACCGCATTATGGCAAGGATCCTGCTCTCTATTGGCCTGCTGTCACTACACTTCGCCAATCGCGTTCATTCTTGGCAGTTGTAGCGGACAGACAAGAGTGTCATGGAAGTATGTGATAAATGATGATATCAAATGTGGATAACAATGAAATGACCTACATGTGTAAATAACGGAAAAAGAACAGAGAAGGACCGCGAAGTGAAAATGTGAAAATAAATATGAAATTGAGTCGATAACATAATCGAACAAGTCGAGGCAGCTTATTGGCACGAAATTCGCGGCCGTCAATGCCAAACAATTGTTGTCATAGACTTCGGAAAGCTAAATGCTTGTAATGAAAGTCACTTAGCGTGCACGGGCGAAAGCCTGGGGCCGTTCGGGCTATCAAGCTGTCTCGAATCTGTGAAATCATAACTGTGACTTATATCGACGTCCTATCTGTCTCTTTTCTCCGTTATCACCAGGCTGAGTCACGTAATTGTAAAATGGGAACTCTACGACGGAAAAGTGACGAATCGAAAGTATCGTGAGCGCGTATTATGATGTATGCACAGGCATACATGGATTAGAGCGATAGAGGAAAGAGAAAGGGAAGAGCAAAGACGAGCGCTTAAAAAGAAGGATAGGCAGGGTCAGACCCTCAGATGTGCGAGGATTCTCCAACAATAGACGTGTACGTGTGCTGATCTTTGTAATTATAAATTGTGAATACATGTGACTAATATTATTTTCTTTTTTATTTTGTGCATGTTACAAGTTATAAATAAATATAAACAAACAACACTAAATCAATAACATTAAATCTAAATACCAAATTGATTAATTTACAGTGTTTTTGTTATTTATTACTCCTGTTTTTAGGTATTCGATATTCGGCCAAATAGTGATTAAATATTCGGTATTTGGCCGAATAGTGAAAAATAGGCCAAATACCGAATAGTAACCGAATATTCATTACATCACTAATTATTACTAAATGAATGCTGAAAATTTTCAGGCCAGAATTAGCCTAGTTACATCTGTTTCAGTACAGATTATTAAAATTCAAGTAAATACAAAAATTATGTATTTTTTATGAATAGTATTGTTTTAAGAAGTAGTAATCTAAATGTTCTTTCTATATTAAGTTGTAAATTAAGGATATAAAATTTTAATTGATTACATTAGCATTTTCATACACTCATGTCCAAAAAATAGGCTATATTAAAAAATATGCTTTATCTCAGAAACTATTGATCAGAAAAGTGTAAAACTTAATATACAGTACAAACAGAATGCTTTATTCTTTATGCAACAAAACAAGTAAAAAGCAAATTTTAGTCAAAAAAACAAAGTTTAATCTAAATTATTAAATCAAAAACAATACAACAAGGTTTAGTACTTTTTCTTAAATCTTTTTCACAAAACATGATTAATATAGTGCGTGGTTGCCTCCTGCATGCAGAAACACTGCACTACAATTGCTTATACTTGTTATAACATTGTTTATAAAATAACTATAAATTTCATTATTATAATAATTTTTCACAAACAATAACAGAAATATATACATAATTAACAAAATATTACTTTTTTATTAATAAAAATTAGCAAAATATAATATTTCATATAAAAAAATTATAATTTTTAATAATTCAGTATGTTATATTTTAAATATAAAATTTTTATAGCCAGTATTTTAAGGATAACTACAGGAAAAAAAAATTATAAAGACACAAAACATTAAAGTCAAAAGCTATACTTCTTACCTGCCATAAGCAAATCTTCTATCTTTCTCATGATCTCCAAATGTATCCCATAAACGAAGAGAAACATTCACATTATCTACAACTTCCCAAGATCTTTCAAGTACCTAAACAAATAAAGATTATTCTTTTAAATTTCCTAACAGAGATAAACAACTCTTACTTATACCAAAAGTTTCAGTATTTACATTTGCATAAATTATATTACAAGCATAAATCTTTGATCTAACTTGGCAACAAATATGTACTAGAAAGGAAATTTCTTCCATATCTTAAATATTTGCTTTATACTCTTCTATTGTGGTGAGTCCCACAATGTATATATTTTTTTATTGTTGTAAATTGGCAAATTTATGTTTTTTGTATTCTCTTTCTCTATCTGATTAACTCTATCATTCCCTATTAACCCTTTCAACCAGAAGATAACCATTCTTTTGGTGAGTTTTGGGCTAAAAGAAGAATCAATGTATGTCATGGAGGAGAAGGGCGATTTTTTGGCATTCTTGGTCAAGAAGAATGAGAAGAGAGGCACATCTTCAATCACAGGAGAAGGAGTATAAGAAAGAAGGTCCACGTGGTGGGGATATAGAAGATTAGTGGTTGAAATTTGTGATTGAAGATGTAAAAAGGAAGTTATGAGTGGACTGCTTATCTGGAATAAGGAGAACCACATGGTGAGGTTATGTTTTCTTTGTTAACTGCAGTCGACACCTTAAGTGCCCAACTTGCCAGACAGGAGAAAGAGGATCCCGTACTAACAAATTTTCTACTCGTCCTTCTTTATTTTAAATAATATTAGTGTTAATTTAAGATAAGTTAGTTTTAATTAGTAATATAAAATGCTTGAAACGAATTGTCCACAAACTAGCCTCACAAGTCATTTTTGTCAAGATATCAAAACAAGCAGTATTAAAGGGAAATAAATTGATATTGTTATCGTATTCTTGAAAAAAGGTAGTTTAATGTACAGTATATTGTTTCTTACACGTGGTGTCCAATAACCTGCATCACCACATTATTATGATTTGACAAGAATCAATTAATATACAGTCGTCCCCCCTATAACGCGGGTTCATATAATGTGGATTCGTATATCACAGCAAAAAAATTGCAACCGTATTCATATAAGGATGCTAAAAGAGACTCGTAAAATGAGGTAAAACGTCATCACCAACTTGTGTCGCGACAGGATTGGTCGAATCTGGACCAATAATGGACGAGCAGCTGAACTACTTACATGCTACGGAGAGGTTAGGCGGGTAAGTTGAGTTTACTATCATCTGTACAGTATATAAATTAGGTACTGCAAGTCTAATACAGTACTGTAATTTTATACATTTCTTGTGAAAAAAACATTTCTTATTCAACGGCCATAAAAATTATTTCTATTAATGATGTCTCCAAAGTTCAACGAATTTTTCGCAGAAAAATAACTTATCAGAAAACGCGCCCGCTTGGTGCGCTGCTCCGCGATGAAAACAAGCTTAAGCAATGGCGTCATCAAACGCTGCACACTCGGTAAGTAATCCTACAATTTTTTGTTTATAGCATAGTTTATACAGATTATTCCCAAAAAATTATACATGTTTTGGTTATGTTAAGTCAAATTAGTCTAGAATCGATTAATTTTATGGAAGAAAACCTTTCAAACAGCCGTAGTCCGTAAACTGCACATGTGCCAGGCTGTGATTGGCTCATATATTTAAGGATTCCTACAATGTGAAATTCTTATAAGATGGAACGTACCTACCGCGTTATAGGGGGGTCGACTGTAATATTTTTATGTCAGTTTATTTCATAAAATATTGCAAATTTTATGATAACTTTGCTAGTACAAGTAATGAAAAAAAGAAAAAAAAGAAAAATACCATTTCACCTTCTTGCCAAACACCACATTTTTGATTCAGAAATTAAGTTGATTGTTTTTATCTAAGTGTTAATAGCCAGCAAATATTTATGCTAACAAGTAGCAATGAATAATATATTTTGATAATTTTTATTTGTTCTACATAATCATTTTATGATTTGGATCATCATTATAAGAAAATTTTTTATTGTAATTTAAATTCTGTAGAGGTTTAATTTGCAAATAAATGATTTATAATATCAAGTATAATAATATATTGAAATAATATTAACTTCCAATCTTTCATAAACTGTTTTACATCAACTTCTGCCTTATTGAAATAATTATATTATATTAAAATAAACTGTCCAGAAAGTTTTAAAATATTATGACAATTATATATAATGACCACTTCCTGATTACATTATATTTTATGCAAAATGATATATATAGGGTAAAGCAATTTTCAAATGAATAAATTAGCTCATAAGTCACACAAAATAAACACTCAATTTTCAGAGGCCTGTTTTTCAGAAAAGCTTGAGAAATGAGTCCTACTATTTGGACAAGGATCTGTTTATGTTTAGGGCTATGTGCTCACTAAGTTTTGTTTGAATTGGAGATCCAAACTTCTGGCTCTCTCCTTGTGAGTGAAAGCATTGGATTGTCACATAAATAAGTGCATTATTCTAAGAGGAGAGAGTATATAAAAAATTAAAAAAAAAAAAAACAACCAGATTTTGTGTTTTATTATGTCCAATTCCGAGAACTTTCCAAACCACTCATATATACAGGAAAAAATATTAAGAAGTATTTTTAAAAATGAAAAAAATTCCAGTAAATATACAGAAGAAAGTTTAAAAAGTAGGCTACTTCTTGGTTTTATAAATGTGTTAGTTTACATTTATTATGGAAATAATGACATTAAAATTGTTGTAATTTGGTTACATTAATCATAAAGTCTCATTTTAATTTAATAATTAACAAAAATATAACTTACATCTTTGTATATTCTATATTGATCAATAGCCCATACTGTTGGTATGTGAGTTGTCATTAATTGACTAAGAGTAAACCGGGTGTCACATGCTCGAGCACAAATTAGCCTTGTCTTCCCAACAGCAGTATCACCCACCACCACACATTTGACAAGTTCCTGATGAGGTTGTTCATTATCCATGGCCATCAAGCATATGTTGTCATCCACTTAAAATGCAGCTAGACCTATAATAGAGAAAATATAGAAGAAAATTTTTCATATTGAAAATTATACAGTAAAATTATAATTATAAGATATATTTCCATTACCAATGATAAATTTAGCTCTGTTTAAACTAAATGTTTAAAAAATATTCTAAGGATATAACTAACACATCCTGTATGAATGATGATGGTTTATATGAAGCCAAAACTTCTATGATATAAATATCATGTTTTCAGCTTCTTAAATCATCTGCAGGAGGATATAAACAACAAAAAATAAGAATGAACAATTTTTATGATATTATGATTTCAATGGTTCAGTGCTATACTAACTTAATTATTATTTTTGAAATTTTGCAGGAAGTTAAAACAAAACTTCTGATTGTTATTATAAATCACAATGTATACATATATTACTGTATAATCATACGTTTCATGAGTTTTTTATTCTCTCCTGGACACTGAAATTTGTTTTATGCAATTTTGGCGTTAAAAGACTAGGTTATATTCCTCATTAAACACTTTTTCATAATTCTAGGCTGATGCAGTTCTAGAATTTCTTACATTTTTCAATGTAAAACCTATATATCTTTTGACAGCTATAAATACATATTAAATTAAATTACAATTATATTTATAGTATATTATATAAATGAATTATTCTTTCATAATAGGAGAACATCAACTTCTACTGATTTTATTATATAATAAATACAGTTGTCCCTCTATAATCCGACGTTTTTTAATCCAATATGCTCAGTAGTCCAACGCACCTCCCGTCAAGGTACCCGTCCCCATTACGTGTCTGCTTGCACAGAAGCATGTTGCGATGTGAATCTCCCCATCCAATTCTTACTCGATGACACACATTTCGTGTGTTTTATGTGAGCAGTTCTGTTCGAACAGTTGGAGTAGAGAATATTGTAAGTTACTGCTAGCAAAACAATGTGAACTATGTAATTATTTTTGGTAATCCAGACACTTTTGGTAATCTGACACACCTTTGGTCCCATACCTGTCGGATTATCAAGGGACAACTGTATATAATAGCAGCAAAAATTTTTAAATAAAAATTGTTTTTACTTATAAAATTTTTCATCAAGACTAAACTGATCATAACAAACTTGCATTCCTAGCCCAAATTCAACTAGTAAATACAATTTGGTTAAATAGGATCATAAGTGCAATTACAATATTTAGGGACAAGCAAACAATATAGTTTTTCTGCCACCATACTGTAACATGACGTACTCTCAGCTAGCACATAAGAATCTTCAAATTTGTAGTTATAATGATAGGGTTTCAATTTTCCTAGGCTTTTTATACAATGTAGCAGATTATATCTGCTACAATCCCGAGTATTATAAATTCATTTTTGACCATTTTCACAGTTACAATAGTATTGCACTGAACTGTCAATTTAAAACAATAGAAATTTGATTCATTGAGCTTTATAAGCATATCAAAAATAAGAAAAATGTCTTAAAATTATGATATCATTATATATATAAATATAATTCCAGAATATATCAATATATCCACTAAAGAGAAATAAGTAACATGTTTTGATTTTCTAATTAAATATTGTTATATTCAATTGGACCATATTACTCTTCTTTTGCAATATAAATGGGAAAATCATTAGTAAATTTATTTCTATTAAAACTAATATTGACTGTTGTTAATTAATCTTTGTACATATAAACAAACATCAGCTAACCCAATAAAGATTAAAGCAATCAAAGCCAAATTAACGAGCTAGAAGTGGAGGATCGGACTGGAGGTCCTGGTAGCATAATTGGCAACACATCTGCACGGTAAGCAGGAGTTGCAGGTTCAAGTCCCACTCTGAGCCGATTCTTTTCTTCCAGTTAGTTCTAAATTTATTTAAATTATTTAATTAAAATTATAATTATTAAATTTAGCATGAGATGGCGCCTAACGCCTAACTCTAATACCAAATTATCTTAAATTATTATTATTATAGCTGCTTCTAGCCCATTAATTCAGCTTTGGTTGCTTTAATCTTTGTACACTTTTTAATTTTCAGTCTTATCTCTTTTGAATGCATTTGTTTTAGTAAATTTATCATAATTTACAATTATATTTTAAATATATTTGACAATTTCAAAAAATTATCAAATTCACCATGTTTTTCTCTCTTCAAAATTCCATCCAAAGAAATAATCACCCATATTTCTCATCCAATACTGTCTACTCTTCATTTCTTCAGAACTTTATTTAGAATGTTAAATTTCACTTGTTTTACAAAATATCATTTTATGCCTCTTGATTATTTCATCACTACATAGATTACTATATATTCAACAATGGTCTTTCAATTAAAGTGTTATCAAAGGCATTTTGTATTTACCATTCTTTTCAATTTTTTTTATTTCTAATTTGGAATCTATTCTAGTTAATTTATTTATTAACCAGGTTGAAAACATTAGTGTTTCTCCAGCCTTACCCAATGTTAATTAAAGATATATTGCTTACTTCGTTAGATTAACTATACTATGTCTAGTTCAACTTTGTATATATGTTAATGAAACATAGGTTATCATTATTGTAAAATGGGCCAGTAAGGAACACACCTCAACTGAAAAAATCCATTTGTGTACCCATGAGAGGTTATTTTAAAACTCTGATCTCTAACAAAAAAGACAGAAAACTTCTGAAGGAATTTATCAAGGCTCAATAAAGTGTAGTCCAGATAGACAAGTCTATCTGAGTAAAGAGTTGCATATTCAAATGAGATGCAGAGGAGTCTCTTCAGTAGATCCATAAAAGCAACAAGAGGCTGAAGAAGAAAGTTTCAGTCAGCACAAATGTTTATAAAAGTGATCAAAACTAGTCACAACACTGACCAAAAAGTGAACCTGATTCTGATTAACAGTCAAAAGACAAAACATCTATATTTCAATCAGAGAGCAGGCTATGCAAAAAATCTTGCTCTGCTTTGAACCAGGAATTAACCTCCATTACTTAGAAAGATTGGAGGTAGTCCAATCTTTAACAGCTCTAAATGAAATATAAGAAATACAGAGTTGATTCTAACCAACAAAGGGATATGAAGCATCCTGTTTGGCCATTAAATCAACATTTACATTGTCAGCAATATCCTCATGACCTAGTACCCAGATGAGAAAAAACCTATTATAGGTAGCTATTATTGAGGTGCAAGCAACATTCCCAAAGGGGCATAGGTAGTTCATCTGTGACTCAGTTTAAGCAGTCCACAGATCAATAACTTTGACAACCAAATTATTTTGTAGTTGTCAAATAAGACTATATAAACTATATAAAATATCCCTATAACTGTCCCTACATAAACTAAAATATTTCTAGAGGATGATGCATATAAATTACATGATATAAAACTAATAAGTAAGATTATTATAAAATTAATCATAAAAAGCAACAAATATAAATGTGATAAGTGTATAATAATAAAGCAATGAAAAGCACACAAAGGAAATCATCATCCTAATAGAAGAAGTTTTAAAGAGATAGCTATATAGTGATTAAAAACCAATAATTTTAATATAGTGAATTCCAATAGATAATTATAAAATGACTAAAACTTTCAAATCTATATTTATTGAATAACGATATAGACAATATTAGAAACAATTAATCATATTTAAATTCATGAATACTTAGAAATACTTAGTTAATAAAGTAAAGAATGAACACTAAACCTAATAAAATTGTAACTATTAGATTTATAACTACTATTAGATATATGTTAACAATGAATAATTTTTAGAATAATTTCATATTTTCATATATTATAAAATAAAAAGAAAAAGAGTTCTTTTTATTTATTTAATATTTAAAGAGTCAGATTTGTTCTAAATGTTTAAAAATTAAAATATTCTGACTGTTTTGTTAATTCTTATCTCTGTCTTATATTAATATATGTACTGAAATTAAATGAAGAATTCGTTGCATAAATTCTATTTAACCAATTTAGTACTGCATATTTTATAATTCAAGCTTTGGCTTTTGATAAATTTTAATATAGGCCTACATGAATACTGAAATTTGTTTACAATTTCTCTCTATTTCTATTTTTTAAAACATATACAAGGCAATCCATTTGAGAGAAGAAATTTTAAAGCTGTGTCATAATAAACACATTAGTTGTATGAAGTTCAAATTCTGACACAATGGTGAGGTAAAATATTGAGTAGTTTTATAATGACACAAAAATGAAAATGGCATTGACCTTGGTGTTGATTCTGCTGCAATCAACCATCAGTCTTTTCCTAGGCTATATAGTAATGAAGCAGAAAAAAGGGCTTTCTTTCTCATGATCATGCTTATGATTATTAAAGTGTTACTTCATAATTCATCTCATTTCTTCAAGTGTGTAATACCAACATATTATGCAATCATACTTAGGTGCCTTCGTAAAATCAAACATGACAAAACTCATATTTAATAACCATACAAACTCAAACTTTGCATATCAAAGAATATATTTGTGTGTTGCTCCAGTTTCTTTTTTGTCATGTGACAAAACTACCAATAAAACTCTTGTTTTATCTTGCTATTGTGGCAGAATTTGAACTTCTTATAAATAATGTGTTTATTATGACACAGCTTTCAAATTGTCTCTATCCAAATGGATTATCCTGTACAAATATATGGAATCAGATTTTAAAAACATTTTAAAACGATATATAAATTTTATATTGCTAAATTATATTTTGGGTATTAGAAATATTTAGAGTATTTTTTCCTATTTAAGAAATTTTTTGTTAAATTGTATATTGTAGTTATTCTTTTATTTCTTGTGCCATTCCATACAAAAGCAACAAATATAATTCTTTGGTACAGTCGACCCCCCTATAACACTGTTGATTTTTCCGTTTTATATGAATTTCATGTTGTACGAGTCACTTATATTTTACAAATACGTGTACCAGGCTGTGAATGGCTCACGTATTTGTAAAATCTAAGTAACTCGTACAACATGGAATTCGTATAAAACGGAAAAATCAACAGAGTTATAGGGGGGTCGACTGTAATGTTGTCTAGATAATATTATGGTTGCGTAGGTCATGTGAGTAATGAATTTATAATTATCTCTTTCTGCCCTGTGGTTACTAAGAGGGTCTTTTCTAGCAAACGCATTATGGGTTCAGGCAGGCCTACAATGGGCGGCAGGGTGGTGAGAGAGGGGGACGATATATCCGTCCGGATCACTTCCTCCCGAAAAATCCCTGGATTTGATCCCTGTTCCTTCAGAGCGATAGGATGCCACCTTAACCATTCAGCCATTCGGTCGGAGCTGAATTATTTATGAAAAAACATGAGGGTCTAAGCA